CTGCGTGCGCGCATGCAGGATGTCTAGGATCTGCGTCCACGTCACCCACCGCCACCCGTTGGCCATCGGCCTCTCGCGCGCACCCCTCCCCCCTCTCCCCCTCCCACGGCGCGCGAGGCCGACACCTCCGAGGCCGACTGGTTGTTGTCCCCACCACGGGTGCTTCATCCCCACGGCATCTGGGGGCTTCTCGGACCTCAGGACCACACAAAACGATCTGGGACGCAGCAAATAAAAAAGATCAAGAGCTCCAGGGTCTGCTCTGCACAGGGGGGGAAGAGACGCTCAAAGGATAAGTGCGAACCATTTGTGCTCCTTCGCGCCGCCTCGCCAAACCGACTGCGCGCGGCGCAAAGGAGTGCTGCCGTGAAGAGAGGCATCGCTCTCGACAGTGCCTCCACTAACGCACGCTCTGGAGAATAACACTTCAGGGGCATACGATTTCCGAGACCCGCGCGGACCTCCCAGGTTGGCGCCAGACACCCTTCCCCTCTGGCGCGCGGGGAGCCGACCCAAGAAATCCGCGTGGAACTCCGAAAGTCTAAGTTTACGTACGAGAAGAAAACATGCATAAACATAAACGTTGGGCGCCCCGCGCGGACTTCTTGGACCTGCGCTGGACCCCCCTCCCCAGCGCGCGGAGCGCGCTAGGGGCGGCGCCCGAGTCGCCGCCAGGGGGGCCCGGCCCAGCGCAGATCCAAGAAATCCGCGCGGAGCGCCAAACAATCTTTCTGGTTGTGGCGCTTTTTCCTCTTCGACTTCTTCGACGTTGGAGGCCTGTAAATGTGCACCAACACCGACACAAGGGGTTGCCTCCACAGGGGGAAGATGATCCTAGATTTCGGTGCTGGTGGTAACATTTCGGCCGCCTCGGAAGCCATAAGATTACCACCATCGCCGAAATCGGAATCTTCTTCCCTCGGTGGAGGCACACCGCCGATGTCAGCGTTGGTCGACGAGCGCCTTCCACTACTCGCAAAGTATCTACTCGCAAATGGCCTGGATCCCCCGCGGGGGATCTTCGACAAGTTACATCAAAGCAGACTGGTGTTTTTCGAACGTCTGCGAGTAGGCACCTTGCGAGCAGTGGAACGCGCTCGGCGAGTTGGTGTCCACCTCCAGGCCTGCGACAACGCACGCGCTGGGGTCGCCGCCGGTCGGCACGACGCGAATCTGCCGTGTGCAGTCTTCCGCTCCTCGGCGCTCGCTGCACGCTCCGAGCGCTGGGCAGGCGGCTCGAGGCGGCCCGGGCGGCGCGGGGCCGAGGCTGGCCCGGGAGGAGCGGCGCAGTCAGAGCAGGAGAGGGGAGGAGAGAGGGGAGAGAGGAGGAGGAGGAGGAGGAGGAGGAGGAGGAGGAGGAGGAGGACAAGCTAGGTGCGCTGGAGTCATATCTGACGTCCTACCCCTCCCTCCCATCCCTTACCATGGCGTAGATCTCTTCTCTGTTCGCACAATCGGCTGTCGCAACATGGCATAGCATTACATGGCATAGCATGGTGTTGAAGATAAACGCGTAGCATGACATAGCATGGCGTGGCGACGGGGAGGGGCTTCTGCGGCCCCGAAAAATCACCGAATCGGCACCGAATGTGGAATCACTTCCGATGGTTTCTTCGGGAGGTCATTTTCTAGATTTTGGGACCTATCTGGAAGGATCCAAAATCATGCCATGGCATGGCACTGGAAATAATGACGCCAACGCTACAGCGGGAACACGATTCGGAACGAGCGGAAGCGCAGAAATGAGGCCACCGCTGCAGCGGGAGCAAGATTCGGAACGAGCGGTAGCCCGAAAATGAGGCCAGCGCTTCAGCGAGAGCAGCACTTTGAACAAAAACCAAGCGCGGGAGCGCGGAAATGAGGACGCGTAGCCTGACATAGCATGGCGTTGCGACGCCCCAAAGCGGGGGGGCTTCTGCGGCCCCAAAAATCAACAAATCGGCACCGAATGTGTAATCACTTCCGATGTTTTTTTCGGGGGGGGGGGGGCAGTTTCTAAATTTTGGGGCCATCTGCAAGGACCGAAAACCATGCCGTGGCATGGCGCTGGAAGTAATGACGCCAGCGCTGCAGCGGGAGCACGATTCGGATCGAGCGGAAGCGCGGAAATGATGCCACCGCTGCAGGAGCAAGATTCGGAACAAGCTGTAGCCCGAAAATGAGGCCAGCGCCTCAACGAGAGCAGCATTTTGAACAAAAACCCAAGCGCGGAAACGCGGACATGAGGACGCGTAGCCTGACAAGACGACAGTTTCTTCCTCTTGGGCCCAGAACGACGGCTTGAAGTCTTGAGCAGACGCGCATGAGATAACCGCCGTCGGATCCCGTGAAGTTCGCGCGGATCCAATTGTGGTTTTGGCGGTGGATCCGATTTCCGTCCGGATCCACGTTCGGTCTTATATGTTTTACGGCGGATCCGGTTTTTACCCCGTTTTTAATTCAAAGAACTTAATGAATACGGGGAACCAGAAGAAATCGGATCCGCGGACCCCGGAACCCGCCCGTGCTAAGATTCTACGGGGGAAGGGGCTTCGGTCATCAACTTCCAACTCATCATTGCCATTTGCACCTCAAGAGGGAAATCATTCGTCCACCCTAACTAGCATGTCGTGGCGACGCCCCAAAGTGGGGGGGGCTTCTGCGGCCAAAAAGAATCAACGAATCAACACCGAATGTGGAATCACTTCCGATGGCTGTTTTCGGGGAGCCATTTTCTAGGTTCGGGGGCCTATCTGGAAGGACCGAAAACAATGCCGTGGCATGGCGCTGGAAATAATGACGCCAACGCTACAGCAGGAACACGATTCGGAACGAGCGGAAGCGCAGAAATGAGGCCAGCGCTTCAGCGAGAGCAACATGCCGAAAACAAACCCAAGCGAAAACCCAACTCCTGGGAACCCCGTGTAAAAAACCAGTACGCGGAGGGCGGCCTAACGATCCCTGGACGCCACCAGGGGAGAGAGGAGAGTAGTATTCGTCTTGCTCGATTGTAGGTCGAGGAGGAGGAGGAGGACGAGGAGGACGACAACGAGGACGAGGAGGATGGCATGAGACATGAGACATGAGACATGAAACATGAGGAGGAGGAGGAGGAGGAGGAGGAGGAGGAGGAGGAGGAGGACATGAGGCATGAGACATGCGGAGGAGAAGAAGGAGACCATGAGACACGAGGACGAGGAGGAGGAGGAGGAGGAGGCGAATAGAGAAGAAGAGGAGGAGAGGGCAAGACTAATGGGGGAAAACGATGACGATAAAGAGGAGGAGGCGGGCAACTTGAAGAGGATAGAGGAGGCGGAGGATCACCAGCGGCATTACAAAACACCCGAATTTGCCCCAGAACCCAGGCGCCCAGAAGCCCCGCGAAAGCACTCCTCCTCCCTCCCTTCCTCCACCCCTCCTGATGGCCATGCGCGATCCATCGCTGACCAAGTGGCAGTAGAGTCTAAAAAATCAGCCGACCGTATCGGCGTGTGTGAGACGCTTTTCCGTTTCAATTGTCGTCGTAACCGTCGCCGCTCCCCCCCTTTCCCTGAGTGCTCCTCCTTAAGCGATCCAGCCAGACGGAAATCGAATAACGTCGTAATTAATTCGATAGGAAGCCCCTTCCCTATGATCCCTTCCCTGCCCCAAGATGGGTGTCGCTGGGGGGGGAGGTCGCTTAGGCAGGTCCCGGGGGGGGCGGAGGGCTCGGGGGGGTCGTGACCTCCCTACCCAGGGGTCGCGCCTGTGGACAAGGGGGGAAATGGGGTGGAGCCCCTGGGGACAAGGGGAACTCTGAACTCCTTCCCCCGCCTCCCCAACAGAGCCCAAGAGGCACCCACGATAGCCTCATGAAATCTCCAGAGCTGCAACGTCGTCAACGTCGCCGCCGTTGTCGTCGTCCCCCTTCAGGGTTGGCGGCACCGGCCGTAAGGCCTTCCCAATATGTCCATCCCTCGTCCATCCCTCGCCCTCCTGTCCGTCCCCTTCCATCCTGGAGCCCGAAACTGCGGGCACAACTGGATCTACGGGATCTACGCCCTGCGAGCACAACCCTCGACACCAGCCCTCGAACGACGCTACGCCCTCCTCCTCGTCCTTCCACCCCCCACACTCGTCGACGGCACGCAAAAGGGGGATGGTGCGAGGTGGGCGTCCTTCTGAAAAGGCCATGCCCTCGCGCCACCAAAATCGCGCGCGCCGCCATCCATCTTCCCCATCGAGGAAGACGGAGGAGGGCAGGGCATGCCCAGAGGCCTCCCACATGGAGCCCGAGCAGATGGGGTTGGCTGATCGCGCCCTATCCCCGATGCACCACCGATGCGTCGGCGGCGTCGGCGATGCATCGAGGCCGCCAGCGTGGCCGCATCGCCGGTGCATCGGCGATGTGGTGTGATCCCGACCATCTCTACTTTTAGGTCGGGCACGTCCCCCTACAGGCGTCTTTTGGACGGGAAATTAAAAATCCCCCAAAAGTATTCCCAAAAACGCCCAAACATATAAAAAATCGTCCCAGAACTATTTCTTGACTATTTTTGAATGTTCCTCCTGTAGAGGGACGCGCCCGATTTGAGCTGCTTCGCCCCCATTTGGGAGGCCTGGAGTGCTGCCGCGCGCGGGGCCGGGCGCGGGCCCGCTCTTGCGGGTGAAGTCGACGCTGGTGAAGTCGGCCACCTCCAGCCCGTCCACGACCATCTCCATGCAGTACCTAGGATTGCAAAAAAACCCAGGATTGCAAAAAAAACCCAGGTTTTTTTGCAACCCAGGGTTTTTTTGCAATCCTTCGCAATCCTTCGGGTTTTTTTGCAATCCTTCGAGCGCGTTTCTTTATTTCCGGCGATGATGGGCATTACATATGGGGGGGAGGGGCCAGAAGGGGGGGTATATAATGTAACGCCTCCCCTCCGCCGTGCGCACGGCGGCAGTGCCCAGAGCGCACTGGGGGGAGAGGGGCGTTACGTTATAGGGGGGGGGAGGGAGGGCCGGGGGCTAGAATGAACATTGTGCCCCAGGCAATCGGA